GCCCCCGCCGTCGCGACCGCCGCGCCCCTCGCCTGCCGCCGCCACGCCAGCAGCGCGGCGAGCGCGAGGCGGCGGCGGTGGAACGCGGCGGCCGCCAGCTGGCGGCAGACGAGCAGGCGCCATGCGCGCAGCGTGCGGCCGGCCAGCACCCCCGCATGGTGATCAGCCGCCAGCGCAAATGCAGCCCGCCGCTTGGCGCGCCAAAGAACCACCACCCTCCAAGTCTGAAAGGCGAGTTGCAGCCGCCGCGCCCTGAATAGTGCCTCGGCCGCGCCGCGTCGGCGCCGCCGGTCGCGGCCAAGCCGGGCGAGGGCCAGCCAGAGCAGCAGCCCCTTCAGCGCCAGCCGCCGCGCCGCGGCGCCCGACGCCGCGTGGCGGGCCAGGAGGGCGTCAGTGGCCGCCGGCTGGCGCCGCCAGCCCGCCACCGCGCGCCGCAGCAGCGCGCGGCGGCCCAGCTGCTCTGCTTGCGCCGCCGTCGCCTTCCAGGCCAGTGTGCGTGCGTGCCAGTGGCGCAGGGTGGCCGCGAGGAGCGCGTGCCGGGCGCGCAGCTCTTGTTCGTCCGCCGCGTGCGAGCGCATGCCCTCCAGCCCGCACACCAACAGCCGCGCACGCCGCACCCCCGCCGCCGCCGCGTCCGCCGCCGCCGCCTCCCTGACCGCGCGGCTTCCGTCCGCGACGGCCCGCCAGGCGTGCAAGCAGTCGCGCCCGACCCAATAAGACCGAGCGTGGCGGCCAGCAGGGCCGCAGGCCTCGCCGCTTGCCTCCCCTTGCCGCCACTGTCGCTCAGCCCAAGCCTCATCCGCAGCAGCGAACACTCTGCACAAGAGCTGCCGCGCCCGCACCGGCGCCGCCCAGCGCTGGAGCCACCGCCTCAGCGCCGCACGCCGCAGCGCCGCCACACTCTCGGCCGGCCCCGGCCCGTGCCGCAGCACCCGCGCCGCGCGCGACCACGCAGCGAGCAAACGGCTCCGCCGGCGCTGGCGCTGCTCAGCAACCGCTGCAGCGCCCGCCCTTCGCCGGGCCGCGACGCGCAGCCATGCGTGGCACAGGCGCGCGCCGCGGCGGCGCTCGGCCTGGGCCAGCAGGCACGCGTTTGCAGCCTTCAGCAGCTGCACGCGTCTCCAGGCCCGCAGTGTTTTCAGGAGCCCGTGACGTCGGTGCAACTGCAAAGCCCCCGTTGCCGCACTCCTCCCACGCTCGACGGCTGCCCGCCACTGCGTGAGAGCCTGAGAGGCATGCCCTCGCCCAGCCGCCGCCGCCGCCATGGCAAGCTGTGCGCGCCCCATGTCCGCGGCCTCCGCAAAGCCGCGCAGCGCCCGCCGGCGCAGCCCGCGGTGGCGGTGCGATCGCACTGCCTCGTCGGCCGTCCTTGCAACCGCATGGCGCGCTGTGCTGGCTGCGGGCGGCGCGGTGTCGGCCGCAGCAGGTGCTGCTGCTGTTGGTGCTGCTGCTGCTGCTGCTGCGGCGGCGGCAGCAGCTGCAATTTGTGGCCCTGGGCGTTCTCGAGCGCAGTCCTCACCGCAGCCTTCTCGCAGGGTTGCGCCTGTGCTGGTCAGCAGGTCAGCATTGCTGCTGCCGCTGACGGCTGGGACGCTGCTGCCCAGGCTGCTGCATGTGCCGCATGGTCCCAAATCCCCACCCCAAGCCTGGTGATGGCGAGTGCCATGACCCCTTGCAGTGCCCTCATCACCCTTAACGACGCCCGGCTGCCTGGCTGCACTGCTGTCGTCGCTGTCGTTGCAGCCGCTGGTGCTGCTCAGCGTGCGGTCCACTCCTGATGTCTGGTGCGTGCCAAGTGGGGGGCGCGTGAAGGGACAGCCTGCAAGTGGGAGCTGGCGGCCGAACTGCGTGACATCTGCAGGACCCTCGCAGCCTGCTGCGCCGGCGGTGCAAGCGCGTGCGCGGCTGCGTGAGCTTGTGCTGGTGCTGGTGCTGCTGGCGATCCCGGCTTGCTCAGGTCGCCCTAGCAGTGCCGCTGAGGCCTGATCCGTTTCCTTGCTGAGGGTGGCAGCTGCCAGCCGCTGCAGCCCTGCCTGGTGCGGCGCAATACGGTCAAGCCGCAACCCCGTCGCCACAGCCGCCATCTGGCAAAACTCACTGTTGTCCTCCCCCTCCTTCTCCTCCTGCTGCTGCTGCTGAGGTGGTAGTGAGTGCTTCTGTGGCAGCTGGCAGTGCTCCCCGCGCTGCTGCTGCTGCTGCTGCTGCCGCCGCCGGGCCTGTGGCAAACGCAATGCTGCCAGTGCTGCAAGGTTCAACATGCCTGTTGCTGCAGCTGCGCCTGCCGAATCGAAAGACACGCCCACACCGCTCTCTTTCACCACCGCTGCCCGCGCTGCCGCATCCGTGTCTGCCTCAGGCGCGGCTGCGCACGGCTGGGGCATTGCGGCAGCGCGCCGGGCCGCTGCCGGCGCCCCAGCAACCGCGCGGGGCCGGCGCCCGCCCTGATCCCCCACACATGGCAAAGGGCACCCGTCTTGCTCCCCCGCTGCCAGCTCGCCAGCTGGCGCACCGCACTGCGTGGAGACCCCGCTGGGTCCACGCATATGCCAAGCGCCGGCCCGAGTCGTGCCAGCAGAAGGCTCACGCGCCATGACCGCCGCCGCTCCTGCTGGCCCCCCTGCCGCTCGTGCGCGTGCAGCAGCTGCAGCCGCTTTTGAGTGTTTCGCAGCTGATTGCGGTTGTCGCAGCTGTGGGGCCGCAGGAGGCCCAATCACGGAACCCGCTGGGACTCTCTCGCACTCAGGCTGTCGCTCCTCGTGCTGGTCCTCTGCCACCAACTGCTGCTGCTGCGCCAGAGTCCGCCGCTCCACATGCAGGCGCACTTTCCCCCGGCCGGGCCCACCCTCGCCTGCGGTGGCTTGCAGCCCGCGCGGCCTGGGGCTGACGCATAAATCTTCAACCTGCAAGACAGGAGGAAGCTCTGCGGAGGCGGCCCCTCC